GCCAAAATCATCCATCTTAATTTCATTGTCTTTTTTTTTTTTTATCAACTTCTGCTTTAATTATAAATTGAATTAGGGCAACTACTTATCTTTAATTGTAAAATGATAAATAATTATTAAAGTAGTTAATACTAAGATATTGTCAATCATGTTTTATGATTTAGGATGAGATTTTTGCAAAATAATACGTAACATACATTTTTGTAAATTATTAATAGGGGGCGTGTCCCTCATACTAGTAAAAAAAAAAAAAAAAAAAGGCATGGGACAGAGGGTTTAAAAAAATTAAACATAGACATGTACACGAGAAAAAAATATTTCAACGGACAATTAAAGAGAAAAATATACTTAATGGAAAACAGGGAGACAGAAAGAAGGGAAAAAAAAAGGAAAAATAATAAAGACAAAAACGAAAAATATAGTAAGACAAAGAAAAAATTAAAAATAAAATGTTTTGCAAATTTTGGGAAGCAACCCATCTAGCTTTACTAAAATAGTACAGGACAACCAAAAAAAAAAAAAAGAAAAGTAAAGAGAATTAAAATAGAAGATGCAGATAACAAAATGTGGGAGAACAAGAAACACAATACAAAAAAAAACAAAAACAAAAATTAGAAAAAGGGAAAAGAGAAGGCCAAAAAAAAAAAGAGTGGAAAATGGATAAAAGTTGTCTCGACATCCTAGCAGGACCTTGATTCTCAGCGGTAGTGGTGTGTAGTCGGAGAGATAAAAGTTTGAAATAATTCATGAAAGGTTACCATCACTCTTTTTTTCCCTTTATTAATTACTGTCCACATTTATTTTACTCTTTCTTTCACTTTATTAAGTTTAACACGTAAATTCTAATATTTAATTTTTTGTTTAAATAATCAAAAGAGAGAGAAACATCTAGACAAAAATGGCCACGACAGTAAACTGACAACGCCATTAAATGCGAACACAACGACTGCCTAAGAAATTTTCTCAGATACAAAAAAACAAACAACTGCCTAAGAAACATGTAAAAAACGACAATATCAGAAATAAACAGCACGAAACGACAATATTGCCGCGAATGGGGAAAACAACGAAAAACGACAGTGCCTAAAAATAACAGCCATACGACAAAAGCGATATTTTATCAAGGAAACGACAATAATCTCAACAAACGACAGTTAATGACATCGATACAACAAACTGCATGACATTTATTGAAAATAAATAAATAAGAGCCAAAATGCCCTTAAAAAAGGACTACAACAGGGAAAATGACATAAAGTTAGAAACGACACTGGAGAAAACAACAAAAACACGAAAACTGACAAACAACTGGAACAAAAAAAAAAAGAGAACGATATGAACCGGGAAACCCACAAAAACATGAAAAAAGCGAAACGAAATGAGGAAAGAACTAAGAGCCCGTTTAGTTCGTTGATTCGAGTTTTTAATTCGAATTGATATGTGATTTTATGTGAAAACTTTTTACTATAACAAAAAAATTATATGTGACTGTTTCTGAGAGCTTTTTACTGTAACAAAACTCGAATTCTAAACTCGAATCGATAAAATAAATAAGGCCTTAGGTAGTTCGTGAATTTGAGTTTTTAATTCGAATTGAGATGTGATTTTATGTGAACTTTTTACTGTAATAAAAAAAGTTAAATATAATTTTTTATGATAATTTTTAACTGTAATAAAATTAGAATTAAAAACTCAAATTGATGAAATGATCAAAACTTAAAAATTTCTATCACGAATTTAAAAAACAAGTATTCATTCTTATTGTTAAAAGTTGACTGATTTCGTAGTCGTTTTATCAGAATGCTTAATTCTAAATTCATGCTTTATCAAAACAAAAACAAGAACCCAAAATTGAAGCTGCGGGAAGCTGAAAAAGCTTTCCAGATTAATAAACCAAGTATGATGCAATGCAACAACAATCTATTTTGGTCAGAGAATTAAACGCCAAGGGGCTAATGATAACAAGTGACCAAAGTTTTATAATATTATTAATGTCGCAAATCCATTCAATTTGAAAAGCAAAAAAAAAAAAAAAAAGGAAACAAAAAAAATAAGAAAATTCCCAGACTACCACTGACATTAGCAACAATCTAGCAACCAGAAATGCAAGCAAAATCACCCAAAACATTACGCCACACATCGGCCATATTTCGAGCAAAGGAGAAACTAACATGCAATGTACGGAATAATAAACATCATCACTACCCACCGCAATGCAAAAAGTAGTTCGATTATAAGCCATCTCGCTCTAACATTACATATTAAAAAATAAAAGGTGGGGGAGGGGTGGGGAAATGAGGGATCCAAAATTAGTATAAAGAAACACACAACTCTGAGCAACAATCTGAAGATAAATGCGGCTACTTTGAAACAAATTTTTGCAAATATTTCTACTAAAATAAATACTAGTCAAAATATACTAGCAGAAACTACAAGGGACAACTACCACTCAGAATCAAGTAATCCAACAGGTCTATCGCCAATCATGCGATCAATAGCAAAGGGAAAAGATTGCCTGCATTAGGTTTACTCCAATACGAACCAAAACCTTTTGATCGCAGCTACTAAACCTGCCTGGACTGAGAACCACCGTATCCACTAGCAGCCTGTGAAGGGTCAGATCTCCATCCTGCATTAGAATACCCTGAGCTACCATTGTTGTCACCGTAGCCACTTCCTGTATAACCACCACCAGTTCCTTGTTGATCTCCTGCAGCACCGCCACTGACATTGCTATTTGGGGCACGTCCACCTGAACCACCGTATGCACCAGAATAAGGACCATAACTTCCACCATAATTATTATACCCGTAACCTGGATTCCCATACCCAGAAGTCCCACTTGGTGATTGACCTCTAGGAGCTGAAGCAGCAGCAGCGCCACCACCTGGAGCACCCCAAGGAGCTGTAGTTCCATAGCCAGAAGCACCATAACCGGTGGGAGTTTGACTGCCCCAGTTATTTTTTATTGCGCTTGGTGCCCCACTAACATAGCCAGCATTAGGGGCATTTGGGTTTCCATAGGACCCCCCAGGACCGCCAAAGCCAGTACTGGAACTTCCATAACCACCAACACCATAACCTCCATAACCCCCATAACCAACTGCAGTATTAGCTGTTCCATAACCATAACCAGGTACACCATAGCCTGAATATGGAGGGAAAGCACCACCAGTAGCTTGCGGCTGCATGTATCTGTTGCCATCTACTCGACTGTCAAATGTATTTGTACTAGCACCAGAATAACCTTGGTAGCCCCCACCACGGCCCCCTCCACCAGGATTTGCATCTTTAGGAAGGGCTCGTTTCACCTCTACAGCCTTTCCATTCAGCTCATGGAAGTTCTTATAAAGTACTCTATCAACCGCATCTTCACTATCAAATGTTATGAAACCAAAACCACGAGGCCGTTGAGTACTCTGATCATACATTATAACTACATCGGTTACATTGCCAAAACTTTCAAAAAACTGACGAAATCCATCTTCAGTCAGTGAGGAAGGCAACCCTCCAACAAATATTTTTTTGGTCTTAAAGTTTCCTCCCCCTCCAGAGCCTCTACTGGAAGAAAAATTTCCCGTTTTGGAGGAAGTTTGCTGTTCTTCTCTTGACAAAGCTCTTTTCGCCTCCACCTGTGAAACCAAAGTTTGAAACTTTAATATGCATAGCAAACATAAACTCATGTATGTTGTCAACTTGTCATATGGATGCACGTGAAAGGAATCCATATTTTGTCATTCAACAATAAAGAACAAGAGGAGGAGCAGCAGGGGGGGCATGAGCAAAAAGTCTAAAATCATATCTACCCATCTCATGCAAAAACGAAATTAAAATTTAAAAGAAAGAAAGAAAAATTCATATTCATGTGGACAAAAACAAAAGGTGGTGGAATGAAATTAAAATTTAAAAGAAAGAAAGAAAAATTCATATTCATGTGGACAAAAACAAAAGGTGGGGGGGACCGGGGAGAGGGACGGGGACGGACACTCATATGGATCCACAGCAACAGAATTTGTATTAACATAAGCTGATAAAATTCCTAGGTTCACAACATTGAAAATATCTCATTTTTAGATATCAAACAGAGAAATTAGAACGGTAGAAGACATGATGTCCAATGTTTCTCCTCATATTTTCCAAATTTAGCACATATTTTTCATTGCGCCCAGCAAGAATTTTTTCCCTTCATCCCCAGACTATGTCTTCTCAAATATAGTGCTTCGTTTTCCTAATTAAAAATTTTCTCATCAACTACATCAGCCAAGACAAGTACACATGAAAATCTCAAATTTTTTTTTTTTTTAAACAATGCGGGATCAAGCGTGCGCCCTCCCAATCCCAAGTTCTGCCCTAACCTACTCCATGCCGTTTGAGCTAGTGGTCATGCCAATTATGAATGACAAGACCACAACAAAAAGCAAACCCATTCAAAAATATATGAAAATAAAAATAAATAGAACCTAAAAGTAGGAAAAAAAACGCCAAACAGGGGGGACAATTATAACAAGTCACCAAAATTGTATCAAGGAAGAGTTAAACCAGAAAGCGTGTCCGCTAAAACAATGGTGTTATTAGTCCAACTCAGATAGTATTTGGAGAGGGGAAAAAAAGCATATTGAAGTAATAAACGCACACCCACTAAACAAAGGAATTCAAGAGAATTCAGAACCACAGTTTACTTTTGATATGAAAACAAAAATCTCGATAGTTTATACTCAATGTGTCCCAGTAGGACAATGCCCAGATGAAAGCCCCAGCAAAAAAGGGATCTTTTCATTATTGGAAAAAAAAAAGTACGAAAAACCTCATTTGACAGTAAGACGAAAAAGCAAAAGAATTCCATTTCCAATCACAGGAGAACAGCGTAATTACAAATAGCGCAAGCAACCACGATAAGAACCACAACAGAGGCCGAAATTCCGCCAAAAAAATAAAAAAAAAAATCGATTCCAATAGATTGGAATTAACTTGAATCAAACACCGAATAGGTCAATGCAAGCAAAAATTGAGATGGGAAAGAGGCAAAACCGTTCGGCCATCGATTGTGTGCTTGTCGTTGAGGACCGTATCGAGCACAGAAGGATCGGAGAACACTACGAAGCCGAAACCCCTAGGTCTTCCGGTGGTCTTGTCGCGCATGATTACGGTTTGGGTGACCTCGCCGTACTGGCCGAAGTAGTCCCTGAGATTTTCTTCGGTGGTGTCCCATGCTATTCCGCCTATGAACAGCTTTCCCTCGTCCGACTCCATTGGAATGCGCTCTCTCTGTATCTGTTTCTCTCTCTAGAAACTGTAGAGAGAGAGGGGGAGGGAAGGAAGGAGGGAGAAATGATAAAGGAGGAAGGAGAGAGGGCCGAGGAGGGAAATGGACTTAGGGTTTGTTAAACGACGCCGAATCGAGCTTAAGTAAGCTGTCTTTTGTCCGATAATGGCTCCCCATGGAACTAGATGATACGACACCGTATTATAGTTTTAGCTTAAAGCTGGAAAAGTTCCTAGAATAATAGTTCTCTCTCAGCCCATTCCTAAAAAAACATGAATAACGGCACCGAACAGTCTTGTTTTAATGATTTAACAGAATAATCTTGTTTTATTATGTTGATAGAAGTAATTTTTAAAAATATTAATTGGTCTTCGTTCATATTTTATAAGATTACAATTCTGTTACGTTGTTGTTGAGTAAGATAGTTTTGTTGTCATTTAATGCATACTTTTTTTTCCCTTATTTTTAACGTTGTTTTTAGTTCGTAGCAGTTTGCCATGTTTTACATTTTCATTGTCGTTTGATTTTCTTTCATCATTGACTGTCGTTTACTTTCTTATTTTCGTTTCTCAGTGTGTTATAATCCGTCATTTTAACTATTCTTTTGTTGTTTTACTTTCTTTGTTCATTTTTTATGTTCCTTTTTTTTGTGCCCTTTTTGGACTCGACTGTCTCTTGCATTATTATTGTCGTTTTTCAATGTAATATTGTCTCCTATTTATGCTATTGTTGAATATTATTTATCGTTTTGAGGAAGGTTTGAGGAAGGTTTTTTTGTCAATTTAATGCATAATTTTTTTTTACTTTGTTTTTTTTTTTTGAGGTATTATCATTATAACATTTCTCTCTTCATTTTGCCGTTTCCATTATTTGTGTCGTTTAAAATTTTATACAGTCTTCTGCCTCTCTCGTAATTTTGTTGTCACTCTTGTCCTTTTATATTTGATTGTAATATTTAGAGCTGACAGGTAAAGACATGACGACACGACTCAAAATTCGTATGAAATTAGCAGGTTTTGGTTTATTATAAATAAGTTTTGGGTCATAAACAAATTGACACGATTAATAAATGAGTTGGGTTAGAGTTGAGACCTCCTAACACAAAGTAATATGAATTGACACGATTACATATATATGTCATATGTAATATAATGATATGTGATATAACATGAAAGTTTATATGACGTATCAAATAATGTGAATTTTAATATTTATATGTAAAATTCATTTATTTTTCTGAAAAAAAAAAGATAAACTGACTAATAAACATGTCAAACATTATATTAGTTATTTATTCAATATATTAATTTAAACGGGTTATAGAGATTAACACGATTAATAAATGAATCGTATTTAAATTTATATTTTTAACACGTTTAATAAATAAATCATGTTTAAATTAATATTTTATGACACTAAATAAATTGATATGAACACGACCACTAACGTGATCGGTCACTCTTAGTCGTATCTACTTTAATTGACTTAGTGAAGCATGAGTTTGCCAGTTTTTTGACGTTTTACTTTTGAATTGACAAGATTAAATATATATGTCATATGTAATATAATGATATGTGATATAACATGAAAGTTTACATGACGTATCAAATAATGTGAATTTTAATATTTATATGTAAAATTCATTTATTTTTCTGAAAAAAAGATAAACTGACTAATAAACATGTCAAACATTATATTAGTTATTTATTCAATATATTAATTTAAACGGGTTATACAGATTAACACGATTAATAAATGAATCGTATTTAAATTTATATTTTTAACACGTTTAATAAATAAATCATGTTTAAATCAATATTTTATGACACTAAATAAATTGATATGAACGCGACCCACTAACGTGATCGGTCACTCTTAGTCGTATCTACTTTAATTGACTTAGTGAAGCATGAGTTTGCCAGTTTTTTGACGTTTTACTTTTACTGTCGTTTCTTAATTTTGTTTTTGGGTGCTTTATTATCATTCACTTTTACTTTTACTGTGTGTTTGGTACGATGGATATTGAGAGGAAAGAAAAGAATGGAGAGAAAAGAGAAGAAAAAACTCGTATAGTGGTTATTTAGTAGAGTGGAAAGAAAAGTAGATAGGAAAATAAGAGAGATTTTTATGCCATGGGACCCACCTCTTTTTTATCCTTCGCCGGATTTTAGAGAAAAAAATATACTGTTCATATTAAGAGTGAGATTTTTCTTTTCTTTTAATACTAAATAATTAAAAATAAACTCATTTTTTTTATCTTCTCGTATTAAATAATATAAAAAAATTAATTTATTTTTAATTATTATTATTTTCTATTACTTTCATATTTCATTCCCTTCCTACCATAGCATTAATGTCGTTTTTTGTTCTGTTTGTTTTTCGCTTTGCTTTTTACTGTCCTTTTGCAACCTGATTAGCACGCCCTGTGGGAAGTCAGACTCCTCATCCTTTAGGCCACGTGCTTTTAATTGTTTCCTTTTTATTTTTTTTTCTATTAGTACTTTTACACTTTACTGAAAATAAGAGAGATTTTTATGCCATGGGACCCACCTCTTTTTTATCCTTCGCCGGATTTTAGAGAAAAAAATATACTGTTCATGTTAAGAGTGAGATTTTTCTTTTCTTTTAATACTAAATAATTAAAAATAAACTCATTTTTTTTTATTTTCTCATACTAAATAATATAAAAAAATTAATTTATTTTTAATTATTATTATTTTCTATTACTTTCATATTTCATTTCCTTCCTACCATAGCATTAATGTCGTTTTTTGTTCTGTTTGTTTTTCGCTTTGCTTTTTACTGTCCTTTTGCAACCTGATTAGCACGCCCTGTGGGAAGTCAGACTCCTCATCCATTAGGCCACGTGCTTTTAATTGTTTCCTTTTTATTTTTTTTTCTATTAGTACTTTTACACTTTACTGATCCAATTTTATCATTTTCACGACGCAATGTCTTATCGTTTTATTCTTGAATTTCTTATTCCGGTTTTCGTGAATTATCTCTCTCTTTTTTTATTATTGTTTATTTTTATTGTTATCGTCAATCGTTAATTATCTTTCCCATTTTTGTTTTTGCCGTTCTAATACATTTGCTTGAAATGTAGAAAGATATGAAGAATTATCTTGTTCTCGTGGATATGCGTTTTATAGCTTTGAAATTTTGCTGTCGTTTTTTGTGGTTAATAACAGTAGAAAGATTTTCGAATGGGTAATCTCTCTTTTCTTTTTTCCATATATTTTTATACTTAATTGAGGGAACATGAGAATTGGTAGAAGGAAGAGAAATGAGATAAATATTCTTTTGAAGTATATAAGTATAGATTTTTACTTTTTATTTATGATTAGTTATTTTAATCAAATAATTATACAGTTAAAAATGTATTAATTAAATGGTAAAAATTAAGACTCAGTATATTTTTAAAGATAAATTTAGTAATTCTCTCGTAGAATAATTAATTTTTTTATAATGAAAAAAGGACTCAAGAGGCTGAGGAATCAATCCAATAGTTTTAGGCTCCATTCATTTCACATGTTCGAATTGTGTGGATTTAAATATATATGTGGGTTTATTATGGTTTGAATTAGCATTTAGTTGTGAAAGGTCTAAAAAGGGAATAAAATTGAACCATTGTTTGGTTAAATTGTTAGAAGTATGGGTTTTTTTTTTATTAAAAAAAAATACAAGCGAAAATGAGTTGAGTGAAAGATATTTTGGGTTAGAATCCAAAGAATTTTAATGGGAGGTAAGTTCGATGGAACCTTTAATTTTGGTTTAAAATGAAGCTAAAACCTATCCAAGTTTAAAAATGTATGTAATCTAACAAGGGTTTGAATTGATTTTTGGGTTCAAACCCATCACAACCCTCTAACCAAACAGGAGACTTGTGTCGAGCACAATATAGACATAAACCGCAAATCGGCCTAATTCTTTAATTTTGAAAATTTTAAAAGAATTTATTGTTTTGAATATTAGTCGAGTTGACAAAACACGACTTGATCGACATATCTAAACAATAGATCAATTATTGCATCAACAAATCATAAAAAAATAAATACTCATAAATTTTGTGAATACATAATCTTTGCCGTTAACTCTTATAAAAAAGTACATGTACATGGTTTGTTATCATTTTGTATAAGTTTATTATTTACATCACTCTAAATGAATCAATCCAATAGTCTTAGGCTCCATTCACTTCACATGTTCGAATTGTGTGGGTTTAAATATATATGTAGGTTTATTATGGTTTGAATTAGCATTTAGTTGTGCAAGGTCTAAAAAGGGAATAAAATTGAACCATTGTTTGGTTAAATTGTTAGAAGTATGGGTTTTTTTTTATTTAAAAAAAATGCAAGCGGAAATGAGTTGAGTGAAAGATATTTTGGGTTAGAATCCAAATAACTTTAATGGGAGGTAAGTTCGATAGAACCTTTAATTATGGTTTAAAATGAAGCTAAAACCTATCCAAGTTTAAAAATGTATGTAATCTAACAAGGGTTTGAATTGATTTTTGGGTTCAAACCCATCACAACCCTCTAACCAAACAGGAGGCTTGTGTCGAGCACAATATAGACATAAACCGCAAATCAGCCTAATTCTTTAATTTTGAAAATTTTAAAAGAATTTGTTGTTTTGAATATTAGTCGAGCTGACAAAACACGACTTGATCGACATATCTAAACAATAGATCAATTATTACATCAACAAATCATAAAAAAATAAATACTCATAAATTTTGTGAATACATAATCTTTACCGTTAACTCTTATAAAAAAGTACATGTACATGGTTTGTTATCATTTTGTATAAGTTTATTATTTACATCACTCTAAATAATTGAGTTGCATTATGACTTTTTATTTCCCCTTTATTAATTGAATAATAGCTATTTATTTTTAATTAAAGTGACATAGATAATATTTTTTTATTATCTAGATTTGTATTTATGGTTGTACACCACAATTCGTGGAGACTTGCTTTAGTAGTCTCTGTAAAAAATAATTACTTATAGTCTCTTACTTTTAAGTTATCATATATGTATTAGAATCTATCTATTATGTATCTTTTTCAATTTAATGTGATTTTCATAAGATTTAATGATCAAATATTGAGACTAAGGATGGATTATCGGAGAAACACTTTGGTTGTGTTTAGAATTGATTTCGTTTTTATTTTTTACGTTTTTCGAGAAAAAAAATGAAAACGTTTTTAAAACGATGTTTGACACAATAAAGATAAAAAAAGAAATGAAAATGATTTTTTGATTTAGTGTAAAATAAAAGAGAAATAAATAATTACTTTTAATCATTTTTTATTTTTATTTTCTCATCTCTTAATAAAACTACTAAATATATTTTTAAAAATAATTTATATTTAAAATTAAAAACATTTTTATTTTTATTTTTATATAAAAAATAAAATTATTTTAGATAAAGGCACCACCCTCTAATTCTTATGGCTCATCTAAAAAGTAAAGTGCCCAAAGAAGAAGAAGAAAAGGAAAACAATTCAAGGACTGATGGTCCCAACATTGCCAATTAGATGGACGGTGCAGATTAGTTGACACGGAAAGTTTCAGCCTGCGAAAAGTTTAACAACAACCCTTCTAGGAAACGGCAAAAATAACAGGCTGTGATCACACAATCATGAATTCCATCTCCAACGGTCACTTGCTTTGAAAGAACATAAACAATTCCTCTTTCTTAACAAAAAAAACCAAAAATAAATTAATTATAGCCATATGGCCCCCCAACACTCAAGTTCATGACCGTTTTGTCCTTTCCCCTTTTACCTTGCCCAAACGCTCCCCTGTCTTCTCCCTCTCCTCCTCTCTCACATTTTCTACGAAACATGTTTTTGAATCAACAGATGAGAATCTTCTGCTGAACAGATCTTTCTTTTGCAGAAAGACGCACTCTTTGAGAAAGAAAGAAAAAGGACAGAGAGAGAGAAAGCAAACCATCTCTCTAATGGGTTGCTTTCTTGCCTGTTTTGGAACTTCCAAAAACGATCGCAGACGCAGGAAACAGAGGAACCAGGTTCAGCCCCGGCTTCACCAGGTGAGTCTCGTTCTTCAAGCTCGTTTTCTCAGTTTTCGTATTTGTGTGTTTGTTTGTTTGGTTTCCTTGAAAATGCGAGAAAGGAGGGGAATTTGGTGGCGGTTTTTTGTTATTTTCTTTCCGTTTTTGGATTTTTAGTTTGTTAATGATTGTTAGCGAGGTCAAATTGTTACTGAATTCGGAAATTTGGGCTCAGTCAAGTTAGGGTTTTCGTTTTTCGTGTTTAAGTAGCCAAACAGAGCTCAATTCACGGATAACCTTTTTCCTGTCGAACTCCACTGGAACTGAACTCCGAAAACTATTTTTGCGGAGAAATGAAGGTCCTTACTTGCATGTTTACCTGTTTTCTCAGTTTCCTCACTTGCATGTTTGTTTGGATTCCTGGAAAATGCGAGAAAGGAAGGGAAATTGGTGGTAGTTTTTTGGTGTTTTCTTTTCCCTTTTTGGAGTTTTAGTTTGTAAATGGCCGGTAGCTAGGTCAAATTGTTACTGGATTAGAAAATTTTGATTGAGTCAAGTTAGGGTTTTTGTTTCTCGGGTTCAAGTAGCCAAACAGAGCTGAATTCATGGATAACCTTTTTCCTATCAAACTCGTCTGAAACTGAACTTTTTTTGCAGAGAAATGAAAGTCCCAAAGCCGTACAATCTGCTGTCTCTTCCGTACAGGTCGAGTCCGAAAATCTCGTTAGCTTGGTTTCGGTTGTCCGGTGAGTAATATATGACCTTTCTGTTTGTTCACCAAACACGAAATCTTCTATTTCTCATGAACGGTCTTATTTTTTCTTTTGGTATTTATAAAAAAAATTGTGAGCTTTCGGTGTGCAGAGAGGAGCAACCTAACTTGAGTCCAAGGAAGAAAGTGACTTTTGATTCAAATGTCAGAACCTATGAGCATGTTTCAACCTATGACGATTCAGATCTTTTACGAGAGAGTGAAGATTTTGAGAAAAAGGAGGAGGACGATTTGGGAAAATTAAGCCTATCTAAGTCTCCATCTGAAGATAGTTCGGTGACTTCGAGCTTGGGGTCGTATCCTCCAAACCATAGGTATCAGAATTGCAGGGAAAGCGATGATGAAGATGAAGAATTGGATTTTGAGGATAGCGATCTTGATGATGAGGACGAGAACGGTGATGAAGATGATGGGGAGGTAGAGTATGAAGACGAAGTCATTGAACTGAGCAGAGCAAGCGAGGAGGTTAATAGTCCTATGCCGGTGTCTGGTTTGCTTGAGAGTGAGGTACTGAACAAGAATGTTAGAGACAGGAGTGCTTATGTTCACTCTGTGCTAAACCCAGTTGAGAATCTTACCCAATGGAAAGCTGTCAAAGCGAGAGGTAAACCAAAAACGAGGCCTCAGATTCAGAAAGAGAACTTCACACTAGATCAAGAAGAACCAAGGATTTCGTTTAACTCGGAACCAGCATTCAAGGATTTATCTCTCAGCTCCAAATCTAAAACCGATCAACCTGTTAAGCCAAAACAAGAAATGGCAGTTGATGCTAGCCTTTCAAATTGGCTGGTTTCCCCGGAGTCCACACCAGTTAACAAGACTAGCACGTTCGCTTTCGATAATCTTTCGCCTGGGAGATGCACATCTCAAGGATCAAACTCGGTGAGAAGCCAAGAGGATAGGCCAATTTTGGGTGCCTTGACTGTTGAAGAGATCAGGCAGTTCTCAGCTTCATCTTCACCTCGAAAGTCCCCAAGCCGAAGCCCCGATGAGATGCCCATAATAGGGACTGTTGGGACCTACTGGAACAACACAGGGCCTGCCAAGGATTCTGGATCAGCCACTTCACTTAAAGGGATACCAAACACGACCAGCAAGTATAGAGAGGTACATTTTAAGTAAGATTTATGGGAATCTCATATCATAGATGTTAAGTTTCTGATGTGAGTTTTATGGGATTTCAGGACAAAAGAGTAAATTGGCATACTACCCCATTTGAGACGAGGTTGGAGAGAGCTTTGAATAGAGGAGCTTCTGAGGCATAATCCTACTTAGTAGTACTACCAGCGCACGTTAGATGAACTAGTGATTTTTTTTTTTTTTTTTTGTGCGGTGATTTTTTTGTTGTGTGTTTGGCTTCTGTATTTTTTCATTCTTTTGTGAATTATATAAATTTGTTTGTTGCGTGACATTTGCTTGCCTTGTAACCTTTACTGGTTGAATGAAATATATATATATATGTTGATTCTTTTCCTTCTCTGCTGAAATACTAGTGATAGCAACTGTAATTGAAGACATGGATAGGAGGCATTATAAAAGCATTCCCTTGACCTTCCAATACATTTGCTTGAAATGTATTAACATAAATAAAGCGTTATCCTCATTTAACCATTAATTTTTGAATTCAATGATCATAAATTATCCAAAAAATGAGACTCAGTAGTCAGTAAGCAGCATATGTAATAATGGATCGTGATGTGTTTTCAATTGAAATTTTCTATGCTTAAATGTTTTGAATATTCATCCCATCTTTAGCTTTTTTTTTTTAAAAAAAAAAAAAATTATTTTAGTGAGAGTATGATAAAAATAGTTTTCTTTTCTTTTTGGAGTCCGTGGAAAAATGTGTTTTTTTTTTTGGCTAGTGATGGAAAAATATGTTGTTCCTTAGGAAAAGTCATGTTTTTAGCCGGTGTTTTGAGCTAAAAGATGACATGTAACGGTTTCATCTAAAGCTTACCGTTGTTTTATTTTGGGATAAAATTATTTTGGTATCTTATATTATAGTGAAACATATTTTTAATACTTTATATTTTTTATAATATTAAAACAGTACCTGACCTTTTTAAAATATTTGCTTTATATCTTGAAGTTAATTCTTCATATCCTGAAATTAATGTCCAAATTACTCTACTTATTAATTAAATAGAAATCAATATTTTTTTTAAAAAAAATCTAAAAACATTTCAAAATATTAAAATATTTAAAAGAAAATAACAAATTAAAAAAATTCATATTTTTTCTAGATCTATTAATTTTTAATTAATTAAATATTGCGATACTTTTTGATTGATAGTGACACTCGGATAATGGGATTGGAATTTGATTCTTCCCCTTTTTTAATTTTTAAATCATTATCACATATTCATGAAAGTATTCCATTTTCCTATTCTGATTAGCACATTCATAATATGGTGCGTATAGGATCTTATAAACGATCATGAGACATGTATATAAGGAATTTCTTTATTAGTATAGTCTTAGTTTTTAACTGTCAGATCTAGTTAAAATTACATTAGATTAAAAAGTATATAGAATAGATAAATTTTAATACAAATTTAATTTAACGGTTGAAAATAAGAAACTGCCAATAATTTATTTTTGCAGGACTACCAGAAAAAGCCCTATATATATACACAACAAAAACAATTCAGCAATTGACTATACGTTTGCAAGTTAAGCATAGTGAGGCTGCTTGACTTGGTTGGATCTCTTTAGTGGTAGATTTGACAGCCGAAAAATAGGCGGCATTTTCAAGCACAAGAAGTACTAAAAAATGAATCTCGTGGTCAAGTTGGAGGGCCAGGATTATATAGCAAAGCAAATTTATCATCCACTAGAGAGCACTTTAACTTTTGAAAACCATCTCTCTGAAAACCTTTCTGGTCCAAGTCCATCTCTGAAGAATCTGGCTGTGTTAAGACATTTCTGAAAACCATCTCTCTGGTCCAAGTCCATCGCTGTGGAATCTCAAAAGGCTCTTGTCTCTACAACTATTTTATAACAACCTTCACGGCACAATCCCACCCGAAATCGGTAACATAAAGTCCTTGGTTATCTTTGATGTCAATACTAACCAACTTCATGGAGAGTTGCCAGATACCATTTCTCGCCACACAAACATAACAGCTTTCTTTGTGTACTCCAATAATTTCTTCGGAAGCATTCCAAGAAATTTTGGTAGAAGCAATTCTAAGCTGAGCCACATTATGTTTTCGAACAACAGCTTCTCTGGAGAACTCCCAAAAGACATTTGTAGCGCACTCCCTAGTAAACAACAACAGTCTTACGGGAAAGCCACTCTCGGAGAACACGGCAAATTGTTCGCAGTTCACAAGAGTAAGGCTTAATGGGAGCCATTTCAACAATGAAAGGCTAAAAAATGTTTTATGTGCTTATCCGTATCTTGAATTCATTGATTTTAGTTACAATCAATTTGTTGGAGAATTGCCACAGGAGTGGGGAGACTCTGCAGAAACCTCACAAAGTTGCAAGTGGAGAGAAACAAAATTTCTTGCAACATCCCACATGAGCTTGGAAAGTTGACTAAGCTGAAACTTTTGAGCCTTGCTTCCAACCACTTAAGCGGAGAAATTCCATCCGAACTGGGGAATCTAAGTCAATTGTTCGAGCTCAATCTACACAATAATCATTTGAAAGGTGAAATCCCTCAGAGTCTAGCCAATTTAAGTGAACTGCAATATCTTGATTTGTCAGCAAACAATTTAACAGGTACCATACCAAAACGGCTTGGCAATTGCGAAAAACTAGTGAGCATAAACCTCAGCCACAATTTTCTTTCAGGTTAAATACCTTTGGAGCTAGGCAACTTGATTTCCTTGCAATATCTGCTGGATCTTAGCAGCAATCCATTATCTGAACAGATATTCTCATCTTTCTTTAAGCTTACAAAGCTAGAAGTTCTTAATGTCGCGCATAACTATTTGTCCGGAAGAATTCCACCTTTGTTTTCCAGCATGATTAGCCTGCGTTCCAATGATTGTTCCCACAACAACTTGACAGGTCCAATCCCACTTGGAAGCATTTTTCGGAACATGGCGGCAAGTGATTTTGTTGGAAACCCCGGTTTGTGTGGAAATCTTACCGGCCTTATTCCATGCAAAAGGTTCACTAAGAAAAGCAACAAGTTTCTCATTCTTGTCCTTAGTCTCGTTTGTGGTCTAGCAGTCTTTGCAACTGTTACAACTCTCATATTGTGTCACAAATTCAAAGTGGTTGATAAAGAAAGGAGGCAAAACCAGAACGAAAATGAAGTTGAGTCTTTGATATGGGAAAATGAAGGAAAATTCACTTTTGGGGAGATAGTGAAGGCCGCAGAAGATTTTGATGACAAGTATTGCATTGGGAAAGGAGGTTTCGGTACTGTTTACAAGGCGGTTTTGCAATCGGGATTGGTTCTTGCAGTTAAGAGGCTGTATATGTCAGATTCTAGTGATATTTCAGAGACAAGTCGAACAAGCTTCCAGAATGAGCTAGAGACTCTGACGGAGATCCGACACCATAACATCATCAAGCTTTATGGGTTTTGTTCAAGGAAGGGTTGTATGTACTTGGTGTATGAATAAGCAAAGAGACTTGCCAAGGCATTTGTACAGTCATTCTGAAAACAGGCCAGGGAATGTAATTGTCTGGGATGCTGCAAGGACTTGCACCACGACTGCTCTCCGCCGATCGTGCACCGCGACGTGACTCTGAACAATGTCTTACTTGGAGCAGATTCAGTTCAAAGATTGTCGGACTTTGGCATAGCAAGATTGTTGAGCCCCTGATTCCTCCAACTGGACAAATGTTGCTGGCTCGTACGGCTACATGGCTCCGGGTAATAAATTGATACTAATCCAATTTTCAATACTGCACTTCTTAAAGGCATACATGCCAATTGGAAATTTGCATGTTTTACTTTAGTATACTTTTCCTCAAAATCCGATGCGTCAATTTTGTGATGTCTAAGAAATATTTCGCTAATCAAGAGCTTATTAATTGGTTGCTCATGTGCAGAACTGGCTTTCACAATGCGGGTCACAGAAAAGTGTGATGTGTATAGTTTTGGAGTGGTGGCTTTGGAAATCATGATGGGAAGGCACACTGGTGAACTTCTGGAATCGATGTCTGCGCCGTCGAACTCATCATCAGACAATGAGGAACTGCTATTGAAGGACGTGTTAGACCAGCGGCTGCTGCCTCCGACGGGTAGCTTATCGGTGGCGGTCGTGTTAGTGGTGAGCTTAGCGTTGTTTTGCACAAAAGCTTCTCCTGAGTTACGACCCACCACGAGTTCTATGGCGCAACAACTATCGGCAGGACCCGTAGCACTTTCCTCTCGGAGCCGTTGAGAACACTAACCATTAAGGGTGCGTTTGATAGTTGGCTCTGATTCTTGATCTTGATTCAGAATTAATGTTTGTTTAAAGTAATTTTAAATTATAATTCAAAATCAGTATTTAGTTTAGATGATTATGAATTATGATTCAAAATCTGATGTAATATTTTAAACTATGTCAAATCATAATTCTAAAACTATCACCTATTGATTTAAGGTGATTCAAACCATTTATTCTGAATCATGATTTAAACCTAAAATTATAGATGATAGTTCTAATTTCAAAATCATTATTAAAATCACCTTAATTTAAATCTTCATACCAATCAAACCCTAAAAAACTTGCAGGCCTTCAGTAATAGAAGAACGAACTTTCTTGTTGTAGTGGGAGATTATGATCTTACCGCACAGTGTGTAGCTTATCATCATAAATAGGTTTTCTTTCGCTTGCTGTTTTTTTTCCCCCTTCAGTTAAAGAACGAGAAATGTTTGTACTCTTGTATTGCATGTGCTGGTCCTTATATAAACGTGTCGTTTTCCTTTTTCAATGCTATTATTTTTTTTTCTCTTTGGCTACAGTTTAGTTCAAAACGACTTATCACTTTTCCGTCATGATGTCGTTTAAGTAAAAAAGAAAATGACAGGAAATTCATGTTTAAAATCCTGTTCGTATAGAGAAAACGACAGATGTCTAGGTTACTGGAAAAGTGACATGCCATACAATTGAACAGAAGCGTGAAGCCGTTTATAATTTCAAGATGTCGTATAGTATATTGGTATGTTTTACAAAATATAAATGGTAAAGCATTGCTATGGATCTTAAAAATCCTTTAACTAATCCCTCAACAATTGTTCCTTCCATTTTTCCTTACCAAACAACTTCTAAATTATTTTGATTATGCCACTTTTTACCATACCTTGTAGGGATGTCATGATTACACACTAGGTTTTTAATATCATGTTAAAAGCTT